ATCCATTCAGCTGACCTGGAAAGGCAGGACATCCAGGCCTTGACCTTCCAAACCAAACAGGGACAAAGAGTTGGGCTCTGGGGCAGAAATGAACAATCCTCAAAGGAACAGCCRTATCCTACCACGATGACTACAGTAGGACCCCTTTATTCAACCTGTTGAAGAGTCTTTTGCAACATAGTTGGTGCTTCAGGAGGAAAGACTACAGCCACAGCTCTCCATGTGGTGCCAATTCAGTGAGGGAGACAGGCAGGACTTTTGGCATCTTCAGCAGCAAAGTAGAATGGTTAAGACTACAACCCTGGGAACACTCAATCCCTCTGAGCCTCAGTTTCCTCATCTGTAGAATAAAGTCAATAATACCAAACCTGCAGGGTTGTGGTGAGGAGTAGATGAAGTTGATTTACCCCAATGCTTAGCCAATTTGTTATTTCTGATGAGTCAGGGTCTTGTCACTGTCTTATGCCATCGGGTTAGAGTTAAAATCTACTCACCTTTCCAGAGGTTCTATTTCCTCATCTGTCTGAGGGGAACAGAAAGGCCTGATTTATAAGGTGGCTGAGTGAATCAACTGAGATAGGGACATAAAAGTACCCAACTTCATGGTCGGGCTAGACAATTGAGGGTTCCCCATCCCCTGTTCAACTTTATTGTGTATTGTCTACTCATCCGTTCAAGATCAGCTTGAGAATCCTGCAGGAACAACCACTCACCTAGGAAAGTAAGGAGATGGTCCAAGGGGCCCATGCGCTAGACGTACGCTTGGAAAGAAAGGTTCCAAGTAGCAAAGCTTTGGAGAATTTAGTGAGATTTTGGGGTGGTGGGTGCCGGAGGTTTCTAGGCAGTAAAGAGACATCCCAGGCTTCTATCTGAGGGCCTTAGTAGAGCTGGTTTTTAGTAAGCTCCTCCACAGGGTGGGGTCTGGATCAATCCTTACTCAACTGGTAATCAGCCAGTACTGTTAGGAACATGGCCCTAAGTATGCCTGACATAAGTGAAACTTTCCTTTATAAGTTTCTTTTAATCCTATGTTTAAAATAAATTATAAATTTTTAAATTTTATTTTGAGACAAGATCTCCCTAAGTTGCCCAGGCTGGCCTTGAATTTGCCATTCTCCTGCCTCAGCCTCCTGAGTAACTGTGGTTTACAGGCCTGCAGGACTGTGCCTGGCCTGAAAAAAAACATTTAAGCAACAATACAGAGGTCAGCTGAGGAGTGTTCCACTCCTTCATCCTGTGGCTTATTTCCTGGCGCCCCCACTGGTTGTATATCAGACAGTGTTGAGCGTGGTTTACCCTGTGGCCTGGGATTGCCAAAGGTAGCTGCTGATGTGAGTCGGCTTGGCAGGCTTTGCCATTCCTTTCCCTTAGATTTCCCCACCTCCATTCAACTGACAAKTAGAGCACCAAGGCCTGCTCTGCACTCCCACCCATCCAGATCCAGTTCCCCTGATTTTGACCTTTTACTTGTCAAATCTCAGGATAAGTAAAATTTTCTCCCCACCCCATTCTTCCTTTTTCTCTTCTACCATGAGGAACACATGCAAAAACTCCAGCAGTGAGCCTCTCTGGTTTTCACTGTTGACTGGGAGCAAAGTCATCATCTTCTCATTTACACAATGGTTATATTGTCCTAATGACCAAAGATTTTTCTTTCTTTCCTTCCTTCCTTCCTTCCTTCCTTCCTTCCTTCCTTCCTTCCTTCCTTCCTTCCTTCCTTTCTTTCTTTCTTTTCTTTCTTCTTTTTTTTTTAACCAAGGATTGAAGCCAGTGGGGCTTCACCACTGAGCCACACCCCTGGCCCTTTTTATATTTTATTTTGAGACAGGGTCTTGCTAAGTTGCTTAGAGCCTTGCTGAGTTGCTGAGGCTGGATTTGAACTTTTGATCCTCCTGCCTCAGCTTCCTGAGCCACTGAGCCAAAGATTTTCTTAACTGGACTAGAAGAGGCAGCTAATGCATGAAAACTTCTATTCCTTGTAAAAGATTTAATTGTGCCTTGGTGTCCTGGGGTAGAGACTGCCTCACTGACCTCCCAACTTAAGTTGCAGATATTCAATTCTGGTTTTGTCTGCATTTTGCCTGTGATAATTTGGAATTTTCCAACCAATTTGCTCAGAACATTTATGTGGCAAGTAAAAATGGCATCCTTTGGGCTAAGGATGTAGCTCAGGGGTAGAGAGCTTACTTAGCATAGTTGAGGCTCTAGGTTCAATCCCCAGTACCAGAAAAAAAAAGAAAAAGAAAAAAAAGAAAGAAAGAAAAGTCATTCTTTGCCAGATATACCCGAGATAAACTATTCAGTGGCCCTGTAATGCATTCCCACTCACTATTTCCTTTTGGGGAAACAGCTTATCTCCTTTCAATCATCAGATTCTCTTTGAGGCTGCCAACCATAGGCCCCCAATCCTTGATGGGAAGGCATATGATCTAAGCTGGCCAGTCATATCACCACATCTTTCTGGACTTAATGATTCGGCAGAGGGGAAAATGAATGACCCTGGATGAGCAATCAAAGTCCTTCCCAATAATTTTATGAGACCCTGGAGGAGTGGCTGTTTCCATCATTTGCCAGGAAATGAATGTGATCCAAGAGAACCCGAGAGAATGAAACAGTGAGGAGAAATGAAGAAATGGAAAAGAAAAGAGAGTTCTACCTGGGTGGTGTTTACCTGTCTCCTTCCCTCTGATTTACTGAAATAAAATATATCCTTTTAGTTTTACTTTTGTAATTGTAACTGTGCTTCTGTCCCTTGCAGTTGAAAGAGAACTGAGGGAAGATTCTAAGACAGATAAAGATCCATTAATTGTTGGCATCCACRTCTATACTCTTTCTATTCATGTCCAATCATTTACATAGACTTGGTGTGGGCTGGGAAATACTCCTTAAAAGGAGCTGATTCTTTTTTCTTTTTTCTAGGTTCAATCCCCAGTACCAGGTGTTGGAGGGGTACTGGGGACTGAACCCAGAGATGCTTTACCTAATACTGAGCTACATCTCCAGCCCTATTTATTTATTTATTTGAGAGGGGTACTGGGAATTGAACTCAGGGGCATTCAATCACTGAGCCACAACCCCAGCCCTATTTTRTATTTTATTTAGAGACAGGATCTCAAGCCTTGTTTTTGCTGACACTGGCTTTGAACTCTCAATGCACCTGCCTCAGCCTCCCAGGCCACTGGGATTACAGGCATGAACCACCATGCCTAGCTTATTTTTATTTTAAAACAGGGTCTAAGTTGCTTAGAGCCTTGTTTAGTTGCCCATGCTGGCCTCATACTTGCAATCCTCATACTGCAGCATCCTGAGTCATTAAGATTATAGATGTGTGCCACAGGGTCTGTCTATTAAGGAGCTGATTCTGTGTTTGCTATTCAGGAATGTGTCTGTTGAAACAACCAGACTACAGTGTTTCTTGTTTTTTTCATTTTCCCCGCTTTCATCCCCTTCTTCCTCTTGGGCTCAAGTAATCCTCTTGCCTCAGCCTTCCAAATACTGGGGCTACAAGTGCATGCCACCACATCTGACCATCTTACAAATTTGACTTTGCTAAAAGACGTTGACCTTAGGCAATCACTGTTCTTATGGGCAATCACTCTTCAGACCTAAGGGTGAAAAACAATTCTGGTTTATTAGGTGATGAGTGGTTTCCTGGGGAACATAAGACTTTCATTACTAAAACCAGGATAATCCCTGGCAAACCAGGACAGTTGGTTATCCTAGCTGAGTTACATACCTATAAAAATGAGATTGGAGTGGACAGATATAAGAAATTCTGCCATGGGGCTGGGGATGTGGCTCAAGTGATAGCGCACTCGCCTGGCATGTGTGCGGCCCGGGTTCAATTCTCAGCACCACATACAAAGATGTTGTGTCTGCCGAAAACTAAAAAATAAATATTAAAAATCCTCTCTCTCTCTTTAAAAAAAAAAAAAAAGAAAAGAAATTCTGCCAAATCCTGCCCTCAGGCAGATTGCCAATTGACCAGGGCACTAATTGCTGTGAGTTTGGGTGCATCCTCACATTCCTTTGAAATCTGGTCAGCTACTGGCCTTCAGAGTTGGCATCTAGTTTCTATATTGGACTTATTTTTTGACAAACTAGAACTTTAAGGATCAGGATTAATTGAGGATCAATTTTGAATCAAGTTATGCCATAAACTTGATGTCAGACTTTCTCCAGCTTGGGTTAAACCACATTCCTAGAACTTGTAGATCTTGTTTCTTGGATCTGATTGCATGTTTGGGTGAATGTATGAATTGGCAATTATATGTATATATACTTATTTATAATGGCTTGTACTTTAGAAACAAATTTATTGAACACACATCATGTGATCATATCCTAGGCTTACATAAAGGTTCTCATGCTAACACAATGAGCTTATGAGTGTCTGTATTTTGGAAAATAGGAATCTGAGACCTAGCAGTTCAATACTTGTCTAAGGCCCAGCTAGCGGGCAGGAGAGTCATGAGGGATTCCATCTAAGGCAAAAGACTCCAAAAGCCTGGATCTGTCCACCACGATTCAGTTGGCTTTCTGCTTCCACCTTTAYCTTAGATGTGCATAGACTACACTCTTCCCGTCAGTTTGGGGATGAAAAGTGTCCAGGGACTGAGGTTTCCTAACGTTCAAGTGGCAATCACAGTTTCTTCGCGTGACTGGAGACTCCAGAAGTTCCAGATGATCAAGGAAGGGCAGAAAGTAAGGCCCGCGGGAGCCACTGTCGCTTGCCAAAGGCCAGCTGGGCAGCTACACACCCAGTGGCCTGCGGACAGGCAAGGGGAAGGAGGCCRCCCTGCGGGAGGAGTCCAGGTTCCCTGCAGTCCAGCCGCCGCACAGGCTACAGGGTGGCGCATGCGCGGCGCGGACAGCGGAGTTGTGAATGGTGCGTCCTGTTTGCAGGAGTTTGAGGCGGGCGGGCGCGAGGAGGAGGGGTGGGGCCGGCGGGGGCGGGGCGGCCGAGCAAGCGAGGTGGGCGGCGAGAGGAAGTGGCGGCGGCGGCGACGGCGGCGGCCGGGGGCGGCAGGCAACGGCTGAGGCGACGGCGGCGTGGGTTGGGCTCGAGCGGGCGGTGGCACCTCAGACTCCCCGGAGCGGGAGCCCACACGGGCGGGCGCCTGAAACAAAGGGGAGCGGGAGAAGGGGCGCCGCGGGTGGGCGGTCATTCGGTCAGCGCGGAGCCGGCCAGCGGGTGCCCGCGCTTYCCCGTAACCCGGCCGGCCGGCACGGCCTCAGGGCGGGAAGATGCCGCGCGTCGTGCCCGACCAGAGAAGCAAGTTCGAGAATGAAGAATTCTTCAGAAAGCTGAGCCGCGAGTGTGAGGTAAGGCGGGCGGGCGGCGCGGAGGCCGCGACGCGCCCCGAGTGGGCCCGGGCAGAGAAAAGTTTGAGCGGCGCGGTCCCCGGGAAGCCCGGGTCGGCGCGCCCGCGGAGGGGCAATCTCGCCCTGGCGGCCGTCTGCCCACAGGCTCTGCTTGCCCTTATCGGCGCTGCGCGGGGCGGGAGGGCGCGCGGGCGGCGCCGCAGATTTCGCTCCTGATTTCGGCCGTCTCTGCCTTACAGATTAAGTACACCGGCTTCAGGGACCGGCCCCACGAGGAGCGCCAGGCGCGCTTCCAGAACGCCTGCCGCGACGGCCGCTCGGAGATCGTAAGTCCGCGGGGCCCCGGCGCGCGCGGGTCACTTGTTGCGCGGGGACCGCGCGGCCCAGGCGGGTTCCGGACGGCGCCGCGGATGCCGCGGCTCCCGGAACTGAGCGGGCGCCTTCTCACTTCCTACTCGGGATTCAGAAGGCGAAACCAGACGCTGGAGGCCCGCTCCTCGCGGGGACACGCTTTCCCCGTGGCCCGCCGCGGTGGCTCGTGTTTCCCAGAGCCGGCCTGGCGCACAGTTCACCGCGAGTGGAGCTCCAGCCCGAGCCAAAGTAAATAAGCAAAGGTCCTTATATAGGCTGTGACACCGATGGGGGGGGGGACTTCGGGGTATGTGCGGGAAGAAAACACCCACTCGGGAAAAGGACTGGAGCTTCATTCGAGGTCAGCGATAGTTTGTTTCCTAGACGCTGGATTTGTTGGTAAATTTATATGTGAAGCTCTTTCGCTCCCAGAATGAGGATAAATCTTTACTCCAGTTATCTATTGTCCTGATAGAAAAGGGAGGTTTAAAAGAAAAAGGGCCTACAGGACGTTTAATTTTTTTTTTCCTGGAATATAATGCTTCAAGAGAATCGGGGGAAAAAATTATCAGTTTTTTTTTTTTTTTTTTTTTTTTCCTAAACATATCCTGTTTAGTGTTGCAGTACCTAAAGAGCCGCATATGGCTCTGCAAAATTCGCCGTTGATCTCCTGGAGGCCCGTTTGGGTGTGATAGACTTGATGCCTCACCTCCATCAAACCTAGGGTTGAAAAAAAAAACAAGTGTCCTCCATTCATCGCCTTTTGTCCAATTGGAGGTATAATGAGGCAACGATGGGAAGAAACTATAGAAAAAGAGGTTGATTATTTGTTTAAAAAATGTTGAAGCACTGTATAATGGACTCTTTTTACCTTGCATTATGACTTGAGCCCATTGCTTTGGCAGAGACTTGAAGCTAAGGTGCTGTTTGAACAGAGGTTAACAGTAAGAAGGCATGTTGGAAAATTTATTCCTCCCCTTTTGCAATCAATTATTTGTTTTTATTTTATACTATAAAATTCTCCTGTTCACAAAAATCAGATTTATTTTTAAACAGTATTTAATATTTAATATTTAAACAATGTTTTTGGAATTATATTACTGATAGATGATAAATTTTTGAGGAGCTTTTAAAATATTTGATCGTTAATGTATATTATGAGAGTTTTAAGTCCCCCTCCAAGTTTATTGATAGTTGTAATATTTGTGTATTAAAAAAAATATTTGGGGCTGGAGATGTGGCTCAAGCGGTAGCGCCCCTGGCATGCGTGCGGCCCGGGTTCAATCCTCAGCACCACATACAAGCAAAGATGTTGTGTCCGCCAAAAACTAAAAAAATAAATATTAATATTCTCTCTCTCTCTCTCTCTCTGTTAAAAAAAAAAAGACAAATACTTTTTGATTTTGGCACTGGGTGATAGAAGGGAAGAATCATTCATTAGTTGGTCGAGTGACTGTCATTCTTTGCCTGGGTTTTCTTTTGCAAAAGGTGGATGGATAATAGTTTACGTAATCAAAGGATTTCCCGGAGGTAAATGATGAGATACAAAATGCTGTCACTTTTTTAAAGCTGAGATTTTTTTCTGAAAACCAGTAAAGCATAGCCTGTAGGGTGCTTTTAGTTGTATCATACTTTGCTGCATGTAATTGTGAACTGAGGATATAATTTAGCCTATACTATATCTGAAGAGTTATATTCTAATGTCAAAATATAGCAGTGTTATATAGGTTGTTATGTTTGTCATAAATTTCTTTCCAGGGTGAAATAACTGATCTTACAAATTTTAATAAGTTTTGTTTAATTTGTTTTCTGAGAAATATTAAAGATTGAAGGATGTAGATTGATTTCTATAAGATTTGCACTTAAGATGGCACTGGCACATGTTGTTTGTTGAGTGATGTAATATTTGGGGAGGGATTTCACTTTTTTCTCTTTTTCTTTTTTCCCCTCTCTTCCTTGTTTTTCCCTTTTAAATCATTGTTGCCCAATTTAAATTACAGGATCCTGCCTGGGCACAGTGACACACATCTGTAATCCCAGCTGCTCTGGAGACTAAAATAGGAGGATTGCAAGTTTGAGGCCCTCCTCAGCTACTTAGTGAGGCCCTCGGCAATTTAGCAAGACCTTGTCTCAAAATAAAAAATAAAAAGGGCTGGGTATGTAGCTCAGTGGTAAAACTCCCCAGGTTTAATACCCAGTATTTAATTAATTAATTTACAGGATCTTTAGCTCCTAGAGGTTGGAGATTGTACTAAGCCTGAATAAACCCCTCTAAAAACAGGTGCTTTGCAAAAGGCCCTTTGTATTAGAGGTACTGATTATTTGAATTTAGAGGCTACATAATTTAAGGCCTGAAATTTACCTATGACTTATGAACAGGTTGGTTTCTAACTATTTAGTAGTGGAAAAGGAATTATTTTCTATTTGACAGTGGTCATATATGGTAAAGATAAACATAGTTCTCAATTCCCCAATTATTCCACTGCCCCAGATGCTGTTTTTTTTTTCCCCTCATTTTTAACATCTCCTTGTGTACAAGGGAGATTAGTAAAGAATTTATTTTACATTTAGAGGTGAAAGAAATTAAGGGCTGTAATACTTCCCTTTCACTACAAAACTTATCAGACTCTTTTTTTTTTCAAATTTTTTTTAGTTGTAGATGGACACAATACCTTTATTTTATTTGTTTGTTTATTTTTTTAAAGTGGTGCCAAGATCAAGCCCAGGGCCTCACGCATGGTAGGCATACGCTCTACCACTGAGCCACAATCCCAGCCCCTGTTCAGACTTTTTAGGACATAATGAAATAATAGTGATTGTGGGTGAGAGCTAGAATTTATTTTGGTGAAATCTGATTTATTCCTGTTTTGAATTGTTATTGTACTAAGGATATCGGAGATGTCTTCAACACAAATAATTAAAAAAATGCTTACAGGAGTATGTTGACTCTAATAATTAAAAAAATGCTTACAGGAGTATGGGGAAGGTAAAAACTGATATATTTTTAATCCCGAAGATTCAATGGTTAAAATATATTGGATTGGCATAAGGTGTGCCATTTTTTTAATTTGTAAAAACTATAAAATACAGTCAAGACAACTTGGAAGTCTTACATACTGACATTTTCCCACTGTAATATTTTAATATTTTCAAACAGAATTTCCTGACTCTTACGTGTAGGTATTCTATTTAAAAAGGGATCCCACTGTAGCTCAGGGGTAGAGTGTTTGCCTAACATTGGTAAGGCCCTGGATTCCATCCTCAGCACCTCAAAAAAAAAAAAAAAAAGTTATTGGGTAAAGTAAATTTGGAAACCACTATTCTAGAATGATTAATTTTTAGTTTTTATCACTTTTTCTCTCAGGGAGGGATCTTGGTGAGAAAGTGGTAAAGCAGGAAATCTCTTCTGAGTTTTGCATTCAAACAGGAGATGAAGTAATAAGATCTTCAGAGTGTCTTAGCACTATGCTGGTTTGGGATATACTGGAAGTAGAAGGGTTTGCTACTGCATAAACTAAGTATTGAAGAAATGTGATTCAGAGGTTTTGACACAGGACATTCATTCATGGGTTTAATCTCTTATCTACTACCATTCTGTTCTGGGAGAATTTCATTATCTGAGGCTAAAAGTTGCCACTTTTATTAATCTCGAAGTTATTTCTCTTAAGTAGGGTGCATTGGGGCACACCTATAGTCCCAGCTACTTGGGGAGGCTGAGGCAGGAGGACGCTGTGCTCAGAAATTGGAAGCCAGCTTGAACAATAACAGACAACCTTCCTCCCCTATCAGACAGACAAAGGTTATATTTTTCAGAAAACATTTATATGGTGTTTACTTGGTACTGTTCTAAGCATTGTGCAAATATTAATTTGTGAGGAAACTGAAGTATGCCTCAGGTCATACTGCCTAGGCAGTTTTTCTTCTAGAATCTGCTTTTCATTTGAACTAATGGTTGTGCTACTATGGATAAAACTTATTCTGATAGTGCATGGAAAGATTTTTTTTTTTAAAAAATTACTATTGTAATATTGATGTTAGTTTATTTCAGTTTCTAGTCATAGAAAATAATTACCACAACTGGCATCCCAGTTGATGAAAGAAATGCCATCAAAGATGTCTAGAGATTTAGCAGTTGACAAAGTACCTATAGTACCAGTAATAGAAATAGGAAGTATAATTTTTACCTTTAAAAACAGAATAAACTGTTAACCAGTAGGGGAACTAGTGGATAGTTATATCAGCTAATGGTTTTAAACAAATGGCTCAAAATGTGAAGCCCTTGCTTTCAGATGAAGACTGTGCTTCAAGTGATGATGCTTCAGAATGTAATCAGTAAAATAAACCAAATAAAACTTTCTGGTTTCAGCAAAGAAGAGTTTACATTTAGACAATGAAAATGTATTTTTAAAAAAAAAAAAAAAAACCTGCTTGTTATTTCTTTCAGAAAGAAATAGGAGGAATAATGTTATTTCTGTTTTTTACATGGGAGAAATATAGAGTTAAATTGCTCAGGGGCTACATAGAATGACACTTAATGAAATGGTTTTAGACTCTTCTGTCTGAGCTGAACCATCCAAATCTTCTATAAATATTAGATGAACACTCAGTACTTTTAGTTGTAGTTGGAGCTACTTCTTCGATAGTAAAATTTTAGAAAAGTGCATATTTTTTTAAATCATCTAACGTTTTAGAAAGAAGTACTGTCACATTACATGCTAATGTATGGTTTATAACAAGAAAAACAATCCCTAATGCATTTTTTTCTTTCTTTCTTTCTTTCTTTTTTTGGTACTGGTGTTTGAACCTAGGGGTGCTTCGCCACATCCCCAGTCCATTTTTATTTTTTGAGACAGGGTCTCACTAAGTTGCTGAGACTGATTTTGAATTTGTGATCCTCCTACCTCAGCCTCCTGAGCTGCTGGGATTATGGGCATGCACCACTACATCCAGCTCCTAGTACATTTTTTAACATGGGTTTTAAAATCCATTTAAAAATGCTCTTCTGGTTTTTATTTTTTATTTTTTTAGTACCTGTGATTGAACTTAGGGGCACTTGACCACTGAGCCACACCCCTAGCCCTATTTTGTATTTTATTTAGAGACAGGGTTTCACTGAGTTGCTTAGTGAATCACTTTTGCTGAGTCTGGCTTTGAACTCACGATCCTCCTGCCTCAGCTTGCGGAGCCACTGGGATTACAGGCCTGTGTTACCACGCCTGGCAAAAATGTACTTACTGCATTTTTTTCTTTTTTTTTTTGTATCACACCATTCAGTGTTTCCTTGAGCGAAGGAAATCAAGAAAGATAAATGTATCATATAACTTTAAATTGTGATATTCTTTTAAATTCACAATCTTTAGTTCACTAGTGGTTTTCACATTTAAAAATATTTAAAAGTTTTAAAATGCAAGGACAGTGGTTTCTGGTTAGACATTAGCAATGTAAGATCCTAACGTCAGCAAAAAATGACCTGAAAGAAAGTATTGATTCCATGTCTGATTTTATATTTAAGCAGCCAATGGCAAATGTCCTCAAAATGGAATCAGATGTTTGTAACTTAATACTTAAGAAAAATGATGAGTGCATGTTTTTTACTTTTAAGTATTCTCAGTGCTGCCTGGCTTAAGACATAAACTGATGTAAAAATAAATGACTGCCTGCATAATTTATGTAATGTCCTGCTCCTGATCCTGTTTGTATTGATTTTTCTAAAAGGCTTTTGTGGCCACAGGAACCAATCTGTCTCTCCAGTTTTTTCCGGCCAGCTGGCAGGGAGAACAGCGACAAACACCTAGCCGGGAGTATGTCGACTTAGAAAGAGAAGCAGGCAAGGTAGGAAACGTTTCTTTTCAATTGGTGAGTTGTTTTCATTAAAGGTTTTCTGATGATACATACATTATTAGCAATCGTGGGTTACCCAGGTATATGATCAGATTTGCTTTCATTCCATATTATAAAGATGTAATACAGTGTTTTTAAAATCTGTGTTATACTATATCACACATTACTAATTTCACGAATATAATATTCACTGAAGAAAGTTGTAGCCCATAAGGAAAGCAGTGAACTTTCCTACAATAACACTTAAAACCTAATTCTTTTAAAAGTGTTAACAAGAACTTTTTGTGTTTACTAAAATATGTGTTACTACAGTGTTGTAAAAAAAAATGAAATTAAGAGAAAAATGGGAAGGCTCTGTAGGCTTACAAATTCACAGTATTTAGAAGTAGCTCATGGGTAACTTTCTAATTCTATTGTAGCAAAATTAATTTTGAGAAAAACTGTTAAAACTTCAACTTGGAAAAAATTGTTTTGAAAAAGTTTCTGAGAAAACAGATTTCTTACAATTTTTATTTTAGAAGTTTAGGCAAAAGGGGGTTGGGTTGTGGCTCAGTGATAGAGTGCTTGCCTAGCACAGGGAGGCACCAGGTTTGATCCCTAGCATCACATTAAAAAAAAAAAATTAAAATAAATAAATAAACAAAATAAAGGTATTTTTTTAAAAAAAGAAGTAGTTTAGGCTAAAGATTTTTTTAAAAGGTAGAAATATTTATGCTGAGAGCCCTGTTAAAATCTAAGTAAAAGGTACAGGACTTTTTGGTGAAATTTTAATGAATAATAACTTGGATTGGTTGATCATTAACTAAGAAGTCAAGGAGCTGACTTCTTGAAATAAAAATTTTAAAAAGAATTTTGGGGATTCATATTATCTTCAGTATTTCTTGTTTCCTTTACAGGGTGTTTCCATACCTATTTTTGTCTGTTTGAAAATTACTTTTCAAAGTGTCATCATGAATGGCATAATCTATCATTTTATTTGTAAAATGTAAGAAATATCTAAATATTAATGAAGGTATTTTGTATCAGAAAAGGATTTCTAATTTTTTATATATGCAATTAAGAATTTTTTGTTTTATGAAATTAAGTTTGATGTTGTACATGAAAAAAACTAATCTTTGGATTTGAGAGAGGGAAAATAGATGACAGGATTTTAAAAAATGAGTAATATTTGCTTTCCTGTGTATTAGCTTGTTTAATTAGAAAATTAAAAGCAAATATTACATATTTTACTATTTGGTAATTCTTAACATATAAGGGGAAACTTGGAAAATCATTGTAGGATTATTGATCTTTGTTTTGGTGCATGTATGTGTGACTAGATGAAGAAGAAAAAATTTTTTTCTTGTTTAAGACATTCCTCAGAATCAGCTGTTGAATCTAGTTCTAGCACTTATGTGCTAGAACCAGCTGTTGAATCTAGTTCTAGCCCAAGTGGTCTAGCACTTGTTAGGCTGAGGCAGGAGGATCACTTGAGCCAAGGAGTTTGAGGCTAGCCTGGGTAATATAGTGAGGCTTTGTCAAAAAAAGAAAACACTAGATAGATCAATTTCTTAAAGGCATATATATAAAAAAAAAAAAAAGTTGCCTTCCCCTTAGCTTTAATGCTAAATTACTTAACGCTTGAAGATTGGCATGTCAATGCTACTGGGAGGTCCGTTTTACTTGAATTAGATAATGATATCTGGTCACTAGTTTGAAGACTACATTATTCTTGGATTTAAAGCTATTGATGTGTTTTCAGTTATAGAACTAACAATATCAAAAATGTCAGATGGGGCCAGGCATGGTGGTGCATGCATGCCTATAATCCCAGTGGCTCTGGAGCTGAGGCAGGAGGATCATGAGTTCAAAGCCAGCCTCAGCAGAAGCAAGGCACTAAGCAACTCAATGAGACCCTGTCTCTAAATAAAATACAAAATAGGACTGGGGATATAGCTTAGTGGCTGACTGCCCCTGAGTTCAATCCCCACCTCCCCCCAAGCCAAAAAAAAAAAAAGTTTGAAGGTTTACTCTAGTATTTAGAAGATTTTCAAATCTATCAGGAATTTATATTTTATAATTGATTTTAGAAATTTCCTTTCTGAGGGCTGGGATATACTCAGTTGGTAGAGTGCTTGCCTTGCATGAATAAAGCCCTGGGTTCAATCCCCAGCACCATAAAAGAAAGAAAAGAAATTTTCTTTCTGTAAAGGGAAAAATAGTAAATATTTTCAATTTTGCAGGCTAATGGTCTCTGTTGCTGCTATTCACCTGTGCTGTTACAGTGTGAAAGAAGCCAGAGACAATATGTGAACAAATAAGTGTGACTGTGTTCAAGAATGGTTACACTGGCAGGATGGAAATTTGTGTTTATGTATATATCATGTTTTTCTCAACTATAGCTTTGCCAACATCTGTACTATACCAGCAGGATCTAGAAGAATAAAATGTTTTAAGGAAAAACAAAAACCCTCCTAGTATGCTATGGGATAAATTACTCCAGTGAATTTAGAGAAAAAATTCTGTCTTGGATTTTTTCATACATGGAGCTAAGATTATTTCTCCCTTCCTTTTTGTGTTCTCTTTAACCATTATATTTTGATTCTGTACCCATATGATTAGGACTAGAAGCAAAGAAAATTGAAGGAACTTCCTCAAATGTAATAATTTGCCTCTTCTATATCAGACCCCGAATCAGTGTCATCCTCCTTATTCTCTCAACCTCACTTACTGTGTTAGTCAATGTTTCATCACTATGACAAAATACCTGATAAAACTACTTAAAGGAAGAAAGATTTATTTTTGGCTCAGTTTCACGGGTTTCATTGTATGGACAGTTGGTTCCTTTGTTTCTGGTCCTGTGGTGAGACAGTAGTACATCATGGCAAAAGGGTATAGTAAATCAGAACTGCTTAACCTTATGGCTGGCAGAGAGAAAGGAGCCAGGGGCAAGACAAAGTCTTCAGAGGCATGCCCTTGAAAACTTACTCCCTTCATCTAGGTCCCACCTTCCAGTTTCTTCCACTTCCCAGTAGTATGTTCAGCTATGAATGTTATCAGTGAATTAATCCATTAATGAGGTTAGAGCCCTTATGATCCAATTACTTCCCCCAAAGCCCTACCTCTAAAAATCGTTGCACTGGGGACCAAGTCTTCAACATATGAGTCTTTGTGGGACTTTCTGAATTCAAACCATAATACTTCCTGAAGCAGCTTATTTCTCTTTACTAATCAGCAGGATATTTTTATTCTGAGCAGGATATTTACAGTTTTAAATAGGATAGTCTAGGTAAAGAAGTTCATATCTGAGCAGAGGCCTGAAAGGAGGTTAGGGAATGATGAACCCTGTAGGTATATGGGGGAAAAGATGTTCCAGATAGAGGAAACAGCCACTATGAAGGCCACAGGGTGTGAGCATGTTATGTATATTTGATAAACAGCAACCAATCCTGTGTGAGTAGAGTAGGCTAAGAAAGGAGGAGAGATCAGGGCTTTAACAAGGAGCCAGTTCCCATGGCTATTTTAACAACATGGATTTTTATTCCGAGTGAAATAGGGAGTGGTTTCATGTTTTTGAGCAGGTAAATGATATGGTCTGGGTTAGGTTTTGACTAACCTAACTTTCGGGTTGATTGATAATAGACCATAGGGGGCAAGATTGAAATAGGGAGACCTGCTTGGCTATTTCAGCGATCTTTGCTAGAGAACAGGGTGATAACAGTGGACAGAATGAGAGATGGATGTGTTTTGAGAAAAAGCTAAGAAGATTTGCTTATGGATTGGATGAGAAAAAAAAGGAGTTAATGACTTTGTTTTTTTGGCTAGAGCAACTGGAAATATGGGATTGCCATTATCTGAGATGGGAAAGGCTATAGATAGAGCAAGGAGCAGGTTTGGTCAGTTTAGGGCATGTGAGTTTGTAATAATAGCTTGTTATTGCAGCTTCTGTTTCCTAASCACCCTTAACTCTTAAAGCCAAGACATTGGTTTTTCATAAATGATTCTACGTCGCTTATTTTGAGTTCATTTGCCTTTTAAAGATAACAATTTTATTGAAGTATATTTTCCATTCAATAAAATACGTCCAGTATAATTATATAATTTTTTTTAACATTCTCACTCCATTATTTATTTATTTATTTATTTTCTGTTGTGCTGGATTTTGTACCCAGAGCCTCATACTTGCTAGGCAAACCCTCTTACCACTGAGTTACGTCCCCAGCACAATTGTATAATTTGAGTTTTAACAAATGTATGGACACATGTAAATGCCATTACAGATAAAGGCAGTGTTTCTGTCATCCCCAAAGTTTTCTTATTTCCCTTTGCAAGAATCAGGGAATTGTGTGGCTGGGTGGTCCCGCATGAGGTTGCAGTCCAGATGTTGGCTGGGACTGGACAGTCTCTGAAAACTAGACGGAAGCTAAAGGTTCCTCTTCAAGCTCACTCAGTTGACTTCAGTTCCTAGGCATGTGTGCACCTCTTTATAGAAAAAGAATGAAGTCACCATGCTTTTTATGACCTGTTCTTTAAGTCATTGTGTCTTATTTTATTCATTGCAAACTAGTCACTAAGTCTAATCCACACTAAACAGGAAGGGTGATTCCATATGGGTGTGAATACCAGGAAGCTGGAATCACTGGGGTCATCCTGGAGGCTAGCTATCATTGATATAAATTTAGTGAATTTAAAAAAAAAATCTTAGAATGCTGAGAAAGAAGACAAAAATCTCCATATCCTTTTATTAAAAATAATGATTTTATGATTTATGGCTCATATAAACCAGTGCCTTTTATTCATTCTTTTGCTTATGTGGTTGCAGGAATATTTTCGAACAAAGAATCTTCAATAAAAAAGGTTTATTAATTATTAACTACACAAATAGAAACTTTATGTAGGATCAAGTCAACACATAATTTTCTCTTTTTGAATTTTTTTTGTACCAAGGTGTCTAGTGACCCATCTACATTGGTTCTTTTTTTTAAAATCTATGCCTTTATTTATTTATTTAT